CTCACACCATTTTTTATAGTGCTACTTTATACATGGAATTAGAAATAATATTAATATTAAATATTATTAATGTCTACTTATTATTAAAATAGAATATGTACATCTATTAAATATGAATTTAATATTCTTAAAAATGGATTGCTTAAAATTAGAAGCACCTTTAACTATTTAGAGTAATTAATTATTTAAATTACCTGATGATTATTATTAATTAATTCTACGACGTTTACTTTGAGGATTAGATAAGTTTGATTCAACTTGTCTATTGTTTGATTCAACTTGTCTATTATAAGAGTCTGTATAATTTTTATATTGTAAATCCGCTTCATCTAATATACTTCTATATGCTAGAAGTTCTTGCCCTGTAGTTTGTCTAGCAAGAATTTTTAAAGTAGTTGGTCAAGGTAAACGTTTTTTTTCAAGTAGTTTTGGATCCGCATTAACAGGATCTTTTACTACCATAGATTTAAGTATACTTTGATAAGTATACTCGTCATTTCTACGATCACCTAATCAACTATTATCACATGAAGCTATAAAAAAGTGAGCAAATTTTTCTCAATCCAAATAAGGATGATCAATTTTATGATTTCTAAAAATAGAAATCATAATTTGATATCTATTCTCATCAAGAATAACAGCCTTGTACCCAATTTGTGTTCTATATTTCATGAAATGTTCATTAAATTTATTACACAATGTTTGATATTCAGGATCTGTAAATTTTAGATGCTCTTTTCTATAATCAAATTCAGGTGAATAATGAGAACCTAATTTAACATCCTTACCCAGTATTCTACCTCCTTTACCTTTAGGCTTGTTAACTTCTCAATTATTAGTTCTAGTACTAGAATCATAGTAAGAATAACTATTAGTAGCATTAGTATCTTGGTTATTATTACTAACACCTTGACTACTACTACTACTAACACCTTGATTATTAGAAATCACACCTCTCACACCTTGATCATTGTTATTATATTCTGTAGGGGGAATATAATAATTTACATCATAAAAATTACGATCTCAATCCGAATAAGCTCAATAATCTGTATCATAATAACCACCATTACTTCTAGGTAAAGTTGCTACTAATTCAGCCATATCCGTGAAAAATTTCGATAATTCTCCCATGGTTTATTTAATTAAAATATTGTTTAGTTTACACTTATTATCTCATATTATACTCAGATTCCTGAGTATTTAATTTATTAAAAAATCTATAATTTTTTTTGTTTTTTTTTGTAAATTTTTTGTTTTTTATTATGAAAATTTTTTGTTTTTTTTTTACTTTTTGCCCACTAACCCTACCCCACACTATTTTTAGTGTTACCTAGCTACATTTATTAAATTTAGTTAATGAACTTATCTTTAGATTTTAAATTTTTTTCTAACATGATAACGTTCATTATCTAAAGTTCCCATAGCTCTTTTTAATGAATCCTGAGATTCATTAAAATTTTTTACATGATTTTCATAATCTGCATCAGTTTTATCTAACATTTCACAATAAACTTTATATTGTTCTAAATTAATCTTACCTACTAAACCAGCATATTTTTCACCAACTGATATAACCTCAAGATTTTTAATTACACCTGAACAAGTATATGTTTTACTACTGTTTTCCCCCAATCAAGCAACGTCAAATGAAATTGTATATAATTGGAAAAGTTTATTTAATTCTAAATATTTATCAGGATTAGCATTTCTTAATTCTATAAAATTTTTTAATAATAAATTAAATCTATGGTCATCTAAAATAAGTGCTCTATTACCTATATAGTGACGTACTTTATAATAATTATTGAAAACTTCAACTAATTGTTTATAATTTGGGTGCTTATTATCTATACTTTTATGATATGAGGGTGTATAATGTTGTCCTATAGTTAGTTTATCTTTAGCTGCATATTTAGTACTTGTAGCTAGTGATTCATTACTTTGAGTTTCAGGATTAAAGAATGTAAAACCTCTACTCTGTTCTGAAAATTTAGGAGCTAAATCATATGCATGCTCAGGTCTATCTTGAACTCATTGATTTAAATCTATTGAACTATTAACATTAGAATACATTTCCATTATCCATTCTAAAAGTTGAAATTTCTCCATTTAAACATATATTTATAAACTAAGAATCGATAAACATATAGATAATGAATTTTTCAAATTATTTATAATAGGAATATTAGGGTTTATATTAAATAGAAAAAATATCATTATGATGTTAATATCAACAGAAATTATATTATTATAAGCAACATATTAAGTTTAGATAAACTTAATTTAAACATACATATGATTATTAGTCTATAAATAATTATTAACCCCTAACCGCCCCCGCTTATTAAAGCGTTACCTAGCTACATTTTTATTATATTTAATTTTAATATAATAAGAAAAAGATTAATTTAGATTATTTTTTTTATTAAAATATTTATTAATTATCGAGTGACTATATTTTTCATATTATTTATAGTATAACTTACTCCTATCATATTTGTAGATTTCATTATTTTTAATATATAGTTATTTATTAACTATTATTTATATATTAATGAATATCCTTTTCAAGATTTATTCTCGAAATTGTATACTTGTCTACTTTCTATTTTTAAAGCATTTTTACCTAATTCAAAAGCAAATCCTAATGTTAATACTAAGAAAAATACTAACATTATTACTAATCCATATATACCATTAGTGTAAGCACTTACTACGTAAGGATATACTAATAAAATTTCTAAATCAAATAATAAAAACAATAAAGCAAAAATAAAGAAAGATATACTGAATTGTGTTCTATTTTGTCCTAAGAAAGAATGGAAACCACATTCAAAAGCACTATCTTTTTCATGATATGAATTATGAGGTGATAATATTAAATTAACTAATAATAATATTATACCTAATACTGGAATTAAAAAAAAAAAAAGAGTTGTAGTTGTCATTTATAATATTAAGAAATATTTTATTAAAAAAAATTTTTTTAGTTTTTTTATTTATTTATTCTTTACCTAGTATAGTATAAAAACATATATAATTTATATGATTAACATTAACAAAAAAATATAAAGTAAATATATTTATATTACTTTTTATTTTACTATTTATATATTATACATATATATATAACATATAAAAAAACCCTCTACCCTCCCATATATAATTTATTTATAAACAATATAGTTTATATATAAACTACATATCCTTTTATATAAAATATTATATTATTTTACGAAATATTTTATTTATAACCTAAGATTTTATAAATAATATAAAACTATAGATATTTACAAAATCTGATTATATTTTATTATATGTAGTTTTTTAAGCTACATATAATAATAAGAAAGCCATCATTAAAGCAAATAATCCTGTTGCTTCAGCAAAAGCAAAACCTAAGATAGCATAAGAAAACAATTGTCCTCTTAATGATGGATTTCTGGCTACACCTAGTATTAACGCACCAAATACAACACCAATACCTATTCCTGCTCCTATTAATCCGGTTGTAGCCATACCTGTTCCTATTATTTTAGCTGCTTGTAACATTGAATAAATGAATATTTATTTTATTATATACATTTACAAATAAAAAATTTAAATTATTAATCCTTATTAATCATATTTTTTTTATTAATCTATAGTAGTAATCTACTATATTATGCTAAAAGACCTATATTGGTTATTATATGTACCATACTATTATAATAGTAATACATTAAAGCATAATAGATAGAGTTTATTCAAGAATTGATATTAAACTCAGTGTATTGTTATGTTTAAATAAGTCAAGAAACGGTACTATTTATATCCATTTTTATCATCATGATCATAATTATTTATAAATTATGATTGTACAGGTAAACTTGCAAAAGCATGAGGTTTTGGAGGACTTGTTAAACATCACTCTAAAGAACTATTATTTCTTGTGAAATATACTTGGAAAGTATCACTGAATAATTGTGGAGTTAATCAAGGATATCTTGATGCAGCTTTACCTTCTGTTAATTGTTTGTATATAATAGTTAAGAAGTATCATGTAGCTACAACACTAACGATAGAACCAACACTACTTACTAAGTTTCAACCATAGAAAGCATCAGGGTAATCACTTATTCTTCTTGGCATACCTTGTAAACCTAAGAAATGTTGTGGGAAGAATGTTAAATTAACACCAACAAATAATATTCAGAAGTGAACTTTAGCAGCAAAATGGTCATAAGATAAACCTAATATTTTAGGTATTCAGAAGTATCAACCACTAAATAAGGCAAATACAGCACCCATAGATAATACATAATGGAAGTGAGCAACAACATAGTAAGTATCATGGAAAGCTACGTCAAGTGAAGCATTAGCTAAAACAACTCCACTTAATCCACCAATTGTGAATAATACAACAAAACCTAAAGCAAATAACATAGGTGGTGTTAAATGTAAAGATCCTCCATAACATGTAGCTAATCAACTAAATATTTTAATACCTGTAGGTACTGCAATAATTAAAGTAGCTGCTGTAAAGTAAGCTCTTGTATCTACATCTAAACCAACTGTGTACATGTGATGACTTCAAACTATGAAACCTAAAACACCAATAGATAACATAGCATAAACCATTCCTAAGTAACCAAAAACGTTTTTACCTGATGCGGCTGATATAACTGTACTAATTATACCGAATCCTGGAATAATTAAAATATAAACTTCAGGATGTCCGAAGAATCAGAATAAATGTTGGAATAATATTGGATCACCTCCACCCGCTACTTCAAAGAATGAAGTATTAAAGTTTCTATCAGTTAAGATCATAGTAATACCACCAGCTAATACAGGTAATGATAATAATAATAACACTGCTGTTATTATTACAGCTCAACCAAATAAAGCTAATTTATGTAAACGTATACCAGGACTTCTCATATTTAATATAGTTGTTATGAAATTCATAGCACCTAACATACTACTTATACCACTTAAGTGTAAACCAAATATAGCTAAATCAACACTAGGTCCACTGTGAGATTGTATACCTGATAATGGTGGGTATAATGTTCATCCTGTTCCTGCTCCATTTTCTATAGTTGCAGATAATATAAATAATATTAAACTTGGCACTAATAATCAGAAACTTATATTATTTAATCTAGGGAATGCCATATCGGGACCACCTACTAATAATGGTAATAAGAAATTACCAAAACCTCCTATTAAAGCTGGCATAACCATAAAGAAAATCATCATTATAGCATGAGCTGTTATTATTGCATTATATAATTGGTTATCTGAAATATATTGTACTCCAGGTCCAGATAATTCTAATCTTATTAACACTGAAAAGGCTGTACCTATTAATCCTGAAAATAATGCGAACATTAAATATAAAGTTCCAATATCTTTAGCATTTGATGATAAGAATCATCTTTCTTGTCATTCTGTTGGTTGTTTTCATGATAACAACGAAGCAGTTTCTTCTTTTAATACTGCTGAACCCATTAATGGGTTTACACTAGAAAAATCTCTTTTTTGTACGGCTGTCAAAAATTATATTTGAATAGTCTCTTCAATAGTTGAATATAACTCGATATTTTTATAGTAAAATACTTTTTACACAAAAAATTTTAATCTAATATTCTCTTACATACTTTTTTTTTATGTTACCTAATAGCTTAAACAAGCTATACTACAACTTACAGCTTATAATTATAAATAAATTTATTATTATAACTTCTTTGAATATATTTTATATGGCCTACATAGTGAGGAATTAAATTCCTGACCTTTTTGCAGGATAGGGAGGGTACCTAGAATCGAACTAGGATATACTATTCCACATACAGCTATTCTACCATTGAACTATACCCACCTAAATATAGTATATATTTATATACTATACTATATTTTTATTTTTAAATACGATATCGTACTAAATTTTTATTAATTTATATATATAATAAGTACTTTACAATAAGATCTACGGTTTTGTACCTATATTGTATGTTATTATATATATATATTATATTATATTATATTATTTTTATAAAGCTACATATAGCCTAATTTTTTATAAAATGCATAAATTGGATATTTATATAATATAAAATTATACATTTTTTATTATATTACTATATAAAAAATTATAGTAATATAATAAAGCCAAGAGAGAAATTCGAATTCTCATTCTTAATTCATGAAATTATTGTTCTACCGATTGAACTATCCTGGCAAATAATACATATTTATGCATTATTTTTATGTTGGGGCGACTCGAACACCCAATAGTAAATACCAAAAATTTATGACTTACCGATTAGTCGACAACATATTATTAATAGATATATGGGTAACAAGACTTGAACTTGTAAAGTAAAAAACTATTCCGTCCTAAGCGGAACCTGGTTACCAATTTCAGCACACCCATGTTACCATAATTTGCTAGAGATAAGACTTGAACTTACAACCTAATCAGCTTCAGTGATTCGCTCTACCAATTGAGCTTCTCAAGCTTATAACATAAAAATAATTTTATTTTTATTATTTTTTTCTTTTTTTAATACTATAATTTAGTATTATTGGAGTTATCAGGACTCGATCCTGAAATAACGATATGCAAAATCGTCGTTTTACCAGTTAAACTATAACCCCTTTTTTTTTTAATACCCGAGAAACGAATCGAACGTTTACGGCTTGCGCCACTTAAGCTTAAATTAAGACTGTCTACCAATTCCAGCACTCGGATTACATAAGACTAAAATGACTTGAACATTTACTCAAACCATCATGAGTGGTTCGCTTTACCGATTAAGCTATAGTCTTTGGTAGCGGACTTAGGAGTTGCACCTAAATCTTGTGGACATGAGCCACATATGTTACTATTACATTAATCCGCTTATTTGCTATAGTCTTTAGCAGACTTAGGGATTGCACCTAAATTTTGTGAACATGAACCACATATATTACTATTACAGTAATCTGCTTATAATATTACTATATTAATCTGTAATTAAGAGATAGGTGACTTGAACACCTGACCTTTCGCGTGTAAAGCGACAGCTCTACCAACTGAGCTAATCTCTTTCAACCCAAGGGAGATTTGAACTCCCGCACTAACAGTGAAAATGTTATGTCTTAACCAGATTTGACCATTGGGTCTTTATAAACAAAATAAAATGATATTAATATTTTATTTTGTAGTAGCCTAATGCAAGTATCGCACTCACTTCTACCGATTACAAAACGGTTGCATTGCTTTTATGCTAAAAAGGCGTATTTTATTAAAATGATATGATATATAATTAGTATTATATTAATAATTAAAATTAGTACTTTATATCTAAAAATGTTTTCATTCTTACAACTAAAGCCTATTAATTAATATAAATAAATTTATATTAATTATACTCGTAGTGTTCTACTACGTTTTTAAAAGTATCATAAAGTTTGCTTCGCGTTTAGATGCTTTCAACACTTATCTTTAACTGATGTAGCCTTCCTGCCATGCCTATGGGATCAAAATACTTAAGTATAAGTATTCGATATTATTATTAGATAATAATATACCATAAACAACAGGTAAACCAGAGATCAATATACCCAACTCCTTTCGTACGAAGGGGCTATCTTTAATCTACTTTAAGTTCCTCTAGAAGATAGAAACCATACTGTCTCACGACGTATTAAACCCAGCTCATGTAGCTCTTTAATCGACGAACAGTCGAACCCTTCATGATTTCTGCATGCATGAGGATGAGCTAAGCCGACATCGAGGTGCCAAACCGCGCACTCAATTTGTACTCTCTTGCGCAAATTAGCCTGTTCAATTTGTGTTATCATAAAAGATACGGACAACGTCAAAGGCGACTTAATTAGCCTACTAAGACGCGCCAATTATACTTTTATTTCCATTTTTCTCAAAACGGTTCAGACTATTTCATCATCTTTATTAACTATTTTTAGGGAGGGATATTGATATTAATCTTAATTTTATATTAAGTACCACTTACTCAACCTTTAACACCAAAAGCTCCAACACGTGATGTTGAATTTATTACTGTTTGTTGTAAATTAGCTTTAAAATTACCTCTTAAAACTGGTGTTGGATAACCTTTAATTGAAGAATAAGCATTTTCTAAATTTCCTTTATATTTAGTTTTACTTTGAGATCTTGAAGCAGAAAAACGTCTAGTTAATCTACCTGCAGCTTCTAATCTTACACCTGATACTCTTTTATATTTTATACCGTTTAATATAATTTTTTTAAGGTATTTTGTGTTTGTTTTATCTTGCTGCACTAAATCATTTACTAAATTATTAGTATCAAAATCAAAATCATTAACAGTAAAGAATTTTTTTGAATCTTCTACTAATTTAACATTTTTAATTTTTGCTTTTCTTATTAAAACTTTTAGGTATCTTAATACATTTCTTTTTTCTTTAATTTTAATTCTAATGGTTGAGTATATATACTACTATTAAAATAAAAATATTTTAAATTTATTATATTAAACTCTACATTTTTATTAAAAATTTTTTTAATTAAACTTATTAAACCTTGTAAATATGAATTTTCAAATTTAGCTTTGTTAATATAAAGTATTTGTTTGTATAACATATAGAATTTTAATCTTTTTAAACTTCTTTTTATAAATCTACTATAGTAAATATTTTGTACTGTATTTACCTTTGAATTATATTGAGGTAATACATTAGCTAATATTATACTTTTTTCTTGTTGTTGTTTTAATATACTTAAACCTACATTACTTATTTTTTGTAATTTTCTTGTAAATTTAGCTTTTGAAAACAAACTTGTATATCTTTTTTTTAGTTTTAATAAATAATTAAGTTTTTGTTTGTTATATACATATAATGTTATATTTACTTTATCATTAGTATGTTTAAATTCACCATCACTAATAAATATTCTATTAGTTGATATTTTTCTATATCTACGACGTAATCTTGCTTTTCTTAATAAAGATTCTAATGACAAATGGTATGTATTAAAATAACCTTTAATTAATTTCATAACAAATCTACTTTTAATAGGTATTAAACTTATAGCATTTTTATTATAAGCGTATACACTACTTTTTCAATTTCTTACAGCAGGTATTAAATCTTTTTTATAAATAGTAATATTACTATTATTTGATGGATTTTTTTTATATGTACTATTTAATTTTGATTTTATAATATTTAACATATCTACTTTTATATTAAAATATTAATACAATTAATAATAATAATTAATTATATAATATTTAAGCTTGGTTAACCAAGTCTATTACATTATTATTAAAATAATAATTATTATACAGATAATAAGGATAATTTTATCCTTTTTTAGTTTTAGTTAATAAAGATGTTGGGCGTTAAAAAAAGGATTATTGTTAGCAATAACTCACCTTTTAGTCGTTGAACGTCCTTATTTTAATTTATCATTAAGATAAAAATTTGCTTAAAATAAGTTTCGCTTCAAATACACTTAATAAGTTGTCTTTGAAATTTACCCAATATATTACCAATATTTTATAATATTGGAGGACTCACAGTTATAAATCCCTAGCGTAACTTTTTCTATAATCCAAGACCTTTCCTTAATGCATCTTGTGATCATATGCCCCGCTTACGCGACTGATAGACTCGTAGGTCAAACAGTAAAGCAAGATTAAGCCATTAAACTTTTAAAGTATAAATAAATATCATATTAAAATGGACAAATACCATAATAATATAACAATAAAACTTTTAAATATTAAAGTTTAAAATACATCTATTCACCATATAGTTAAAATCTTACTTAAAATAAAAAATAAAATTAGAAATTAATCTAATAGTAACTGTATAATTATAATAATAATTATTACAAATTAAAAATTTTGTATATAAATATACAAATTTACAATATGAACTTTGGATATACCCAGGTACTTTTTGTGGGATCTGTGCCCCGCATAAACTGCCTCCCAATCATCAAGAGAAAAATTAGGATTCGAATAAAGGTGTTTCATTATTATCATTCAACTACCTTATACACTACAATTCATCCTAAAAGAAAACTCTCTTGTAATTAGTAACAGTAAAGCTGCATAGGGTCTTCTCGTCTATCTAGAGGTAAACAGTATCTGCACTGCTATTCCAATTTCACTGAGACAATCTTCGAGACAGCTGTTGCATCGTTAAGTCATTCATGCAGGACCGCATTTAACGGCCAAGGTATTTCGCTACCTTAGGACCCTCATAGGTAAGGCCGCCATTAATCGGGGTGTCCTTCAAAACCTTAGTGAATAACTAAGGAAAATCCGTTACCCAGCCGACATCGGGCAGACATCACACTCAATACTTTGATATTTTATCTTTGCAGAGTGCTGTGT